CTGTTTGACGTCTGAAGACGCATCAATACGTTATCATATGTTGTTTGACAACTTGTAATATGTTTTGCCTTATAGGGCATATTATCGTAGACTTATCTTCGCCCACTGCTCTATTATCTGTCAGGGTAATGATCTGGCATATTCCGACCATCGAATCATTACTGCTAAATGGGTTTTACTATTTCTCTGATATTACCCAATATTGCCTTAATTAGACAAGGGGCGATCCCCGCGCTCAACACCAGCTCAGCCCAGCGGCGGACTCATTTCTTGACACCTCCGGTTACGCTGGTCATAGTATGGAAGTATCATGCGGAAAAATGCAAAGTCCAGTCTATTTGTATGGTTTGATGTATTTTTTGCTTATCTGTCAGGCCCCTGCTGGACAGATACAGTCTACTCTCTTCTACTCTCTTACTTTCTCTCTCTCTCTCACACTTCCCCGGAGAAACTTCACTACCCCAGGAAATCAATCATTTCCAGTACATGTCAGCATCTGATGTAGAGGCAGCTAGATATCAATCCATTACTTGTGATGTTTATATCTTTACACTCATCTCAGCATCCCTAACACTATGACACGTATACTCTCATTGAATGTCAAGGGCCTAAGATCACCCCATAAACGTATGGTGATACTTCGTCATCTCAGGCGCCTAAAAGCCGATATAGCCTTTCTTCAAGAAACCCATCTGACTCAATGAGACTTTGTCCGAATGAAAAAAACTCTGGGTGGGTCAGGTATTGGGATCCCCTTAGATCCATAATAAAGCAGGAGTAATCATACTCATACACAAGCAACTCTCCCCTGAAATCATATCTACTGAATCAGATGAAGCTGGGTGTTTCATCGCTGTCCACATCAAATTAGGCACTAGAATTCTAGTCCTTTCTAACATATATGCTCCAAACTCCCCAATGAAATAATTCTTTCAAGAGTTGTCCCTACGGCTATCAAAATACATACATCTCCCTCCCTCTTGTTATTGGAGGTGACTTTAACTCATGTTTGAATGGTCAGGAGGACAAATCAAAAAGTCACGACCTTTAGTAGACAATCTCCCAGTTCCACACCCCCGGCTTCAACGTTGTTATTTCACTTTGTGGAAGCTTTACAACTCACCGATACTTGCCGATTAGCTCACCCAGATGGCAAAGAATACTCCCATGTCCACTACACGTTATCTAGACTTGATTATTTCTTCTGCAATTCAACCCTGCTACATCACATCAAAGACTCTGCCATATACGACATAGCTATCTCCGATCACTCCCCGATCTCCATCACATTAAACCATTTCAATGTAAATAGTTCCAAGGATATGGCGTTTCCCATCATTCTTGGCAGATAATCAAGAGCTATTTCAATTATTAGACTCAACGTGGTCAGATTTTCTGACCACAAATGAGGCCCACCAATTTAACCCGAACCTCTTGTGGGAAACAGGTAAAGTGGTTTTACGAGGTAGAGTAATTGCTTATACATCCACTTATAAAAAGAAACTCCTTCATAAATTCAAAGAAGCTAGTGACCAACTTCGACAGCCTCAGAGAAATTTTGGCTGAAGCTAATTGCCACAAAAGCAGGAATATATGGTTCGATGCTAAACATCATTTTGATACTTTGGCTTCGGCTCAAGAATCCATACACCAATCCTACTTAGACCTCCAATACCACAAGTTTGGCAATAAACCGGGCAAACTCTTGGCCCATTTATGCCGAAAACCTTTCACTTCCACTCAATTCACAGCACTGAGTGACTCACAAGGCACCCTCAAAAACACCCTGGAATAAATTGTTTCAATTTTGGAACGATTCTTCGCTCAACTCTACGTTCCCAGATCCTATTGACAAGCCAATGCATTCTTAGACCAAATCGTCCTCCCTCAAATTGACCCTCTGGCACTACAATCCCTCAATGCCCCAATAACCCAGTCGGACATCTGGAGAAGGAGAAGGATGAGAAGAAGGAGAAGGATGAGAAGAAGAGAAGGATGAGAAGAAGGAGAAGGATGAGAAGGATGAGAAGAAGAGAAGAAGGAGAAGGATGAGAAGAAGAAGAGAAGGAGAAGGATGAGAAGAAGGAGAAGGAGAAGGATGAGAAGAAGGAGAAAGGAGAAGGAGAAGAAGAAGGAGAAGGAGAAGGATGAGAAGAAGGAGAAGGATGAGAAGAAGGAGAAGGATGAGAAGAAGGAGAGAGGATGAGAAGAAGGAGAAGGATGAGAAGAAGGAGAAGGATGAGAAGAAGGAGAAAGGATGAGAAGAAGGAGAAGGATGAGAAGGAGAAGGATGAGAAGAAGAAGGATGAGAAGAAGAGAGGATGAGAAGAAGAAGAGAAGGATGAGAAGAAGGATGAGAAGAAGGAGAAGGAGAAGAAGAGAAGGAGAAGGAAGGATGAGAAGAAGGAGAAGGAGAAGATGAGAAGAAGGAGAAGGATGAGAAGAAGGATGAGAAGAAGGAGAAGGATGAGAAGAAGGAGAAGGATGAGAAGAAGGAGAAAGGATGAGAAGAAGGAGAAGGATGAGAAGAAGGAGAATGGAAGAAGGATGAGAAGAAGGAGAAGGATGAGAAGAAGGAGAAGGAGAAGGATGAGAAGAAGGAGAAGGATGAGAAGAAGGAGAAGGATGAGAAGAAGGAGAAGGATGAGAAGAAGGAGAAGGAGAAGGAAGAAGAAGAAGGATGAGAAGGATGAGAAGAAGAAGATGAGAAGAAGGAGAAGGATGAGAAGAAGGAGAAGGAAACAAATAGGATAAGGTCTGAGAATGTTTCAACCGCTGGATGGAGGGAATGTCAGAAGAAGGAGTCAGAATGAAGGATTTCTGAAGTTCTGTGACAAGAAGGAGATACAGGGTTGAAACATTGTATCTATTTGTTTCCATTGAAGAAATGGAAACAAATAGATACAATGTTTCAACCGCTGTATGGAAGGAATGTCACAGAACTGTCAGAAATAGCGGAGCTCTGCAGATACACTTAGAAGGAGCTCTGCAGATACACTTTTTGCCGGCTTGGAATTCTTCTTTTTTCATCCTACTTCTTCTTCTTCTTCTTCTTCATCCTCATCCTCATCATCTTCTTCTTCTGAGAAGATGAGGATGAGGATGAAGAAGAAGAAGAAGAAGAAGTAGGATGAAAATAAGAAGAATTCCAAGCCGGCAAAAAGTGTATCTGCAGAGCTCCTCTAAGTCTATCTGCAGAATAGAGGAGCTCTGCAGATACACTTTTTGCCGGCTTGGAATTTTCTTATTTTCATCCTAATTCTTCTTCTTCTTCTTCTTCCAAGCCGGCAAAAAGTGTATCTGCAGAGCTCCTCTATTCTGCAGATACACTTAGAGGAGCTCTGCAGATACACTTTTTGCCGGCTTGGAAAAGCCGGCAAAAAGTGTATCTGCAGAGCTCCTCTATTCTCTGCAGAACACTTAGAGGAGCTCTGCAGATACACTTTTTGCCGGCTTGGAATTCTTCTTATTTTCTATTTCTGACAGTTCTCTGACTTTCACATTTACAGCGGTTGAAACATTGTATCTGTTTCCGAATAAAAACATCTGTATCCTAAATGGAAACAAATAGATACAATGTTTCAACCGCTGTACATGTGAAGGAACTGTCAGAGAACTGTCAGAAATAGCGGAGCTCTCTGCAGGGACACTTTTGCCGGCTGATCGGGAAAAATCCGATTCGCGCACCCGAAGTAGGCTAATATTCGGATTCGACGTGAATCAAATTTTTCCTGAAATTCGAATCGAATTCCACTTCGCCTGGATCCGGCCTCATATCGATCGATTTTCCTTTTAAATCTCGATGCGAAAATTCTATCTAAAATTAATAGCTAATAGACTGGCTATCATTCTGCCCTCCCTTATCCACCCTTCCCAAGCATGTTTCATCCAAGGATGTTCAGCCGCCTCCAACATCCGCAAAGTCCTTGCAGTTCTGAACCATGCTCAACACAACCCATTACAAGATCTAGCAATCATATCTCTCGATGCTGAGAAAGTGTTCGACAATGTAAATTTCACGTGGCTTCACCTAACATTACAGAAACTTGGCTTTGCGGGCCCTTTCACATATTTGATCCAAGCAATGTACTCTGCACCGACAGCTCAAGTCATAGCGGCAGGTTGAACATCCAATCCCATACACCTTCATAAGGGGACAAGACAAGGCTGTCCTCTCTCCCCTTTACTATTTAATCTAGCTCTTTAACCCTAGCCCGCTTCATATTGTTTAAATCCCAACTTCATGGAATCCAAATTGGCCCACAAGACTTGTGGATTGCTTTATTTGCAGATGATATCCTAATTTTCACATCCAATCCAACCCTAGACGTACCATACATCCAAGATCTTTTCTCAGACTACCGTCACTGCTCAGCCCTACGTATCAATTTCTCTAAAAGTGAAATACTCCCTGTATATCATGCTCGTCCCACCTCCTGGACACAAAAAACTCGCTCTTTAAACTTGTAAAAAGCCATATCACATACCTTGGTATTAAGATAGGTAAACTTGCCTCGACTTTGTACACGTTGAATTTCACACACCAACGATAACTAAAATTATGGGGCAGTTGGAAATGCGGAAAGACCTGCCACTATCGCTCCTTGGATGATCCCACCTGTAACGGAAGCGTAGGCAGGACAGAGCACACAGAGAAGATGGGGGACACACAAAGCTTTATTGAAGCAACAAAATGACAGACACTCAATGGGAAAATGGCAAGGAGGGTGATGTGTGCGCAAACCAGTGACGATTCCAGGCATGGGGGGTCTTCAGCGACAGGCAGGCAATCTCCCCCCCTAGGCTTGGGGCCTCAGCCGAGCTCCCTCCGTGACTGGACAGCAGATTGGAGACTCGGGCAACAGGCGGCAACCTACCACTAGGCAGGGACCTAGGGCAACAGGCGGCAACCTACCACTGGACAGGGGCCTCGGGCAACAGGCGGCGACCTACCACTAGGCAGGGACCTCGGGCAACAGGCGGCAACCTACCACTGGGCAGGGGCCTCGGGCAACAGGCGGCGACCCACCACTGGGCAGGGGCCTTGGGCAACGGGCGGCAATCTACCCCTGGGCAGGGGTCTTGGGCAACAGGTGGCAACCTACCACTGGGCAGGGGTCTCGGGCAACAGGCGGCAACCTACCACTGGGCAGGGGTCTTGGGCAACAGGTGACAATCTACCACTGGGCAGGGGCCTCGGGCAACAGACGGCAATCTACCACTGGGCAGGAGCCTCGGGCAACAGGCGGCAACCTACCACTGGGCAGGGGCCTCGGGCAACAGGCGGCAACTTACCCCTGGGCAGGGGCCTCAGGCATCAGGTGGCAATCTACCCCTGGGCAGGGGCTCGGGCAACAGACAGCAACCTACCACTGGGCAGGGGCCTCGAGCAACAGGCGGCAACCTACCACTGGGCAGGGGCCTCGGGGACTCAACGGGACTCTAGCTGTGGAGTCTGGCCTCAGCACAGCTCCTACCCAGCTTTCTAGGGACATTGGGTTCACGGGGACTCAACGGGTAGCGATGGCTCAAGCACTCAGGGACACCCCAGGTAGCTATACTCCGGGCACACCATGGGGCGGTTCAAGTAAGGGTAGTATAGGCGTGTAGTAGGGCAATGCCTAACCCAAGTGGTCTGTGCGCACAACAGGGACAGTTCAGGACACGGGTGGTCAGTGCACACAGCGGGGCAGTTTGGAACATGGGTGGTCGGTGCACACAGCGGGGACAGTTCAGGACACGAGTGGTCGGTGCACACACCGTGGACAGTTCAGAACACTGGTGGTCGGTGCACACAGCAGGCACAGTTCAGGACACAGGTGGTCAGTGCACACAACAGGGACAGTTCAGGACACGGGTGGTCGTTGCACACAGCGGGGACAGTTCAGGACACTCACAGTAAGCAGCTTGCAGACCCTCAGCGGCAGGCGGCTCCAGACAGGGACGACCAGCGGTGAGCATTCCAGGGACAACCAGCGATCAGCAGACAGCAGCAGCTAACAGGGCACTCAGCAGCGGACGGCTTCCGGGGACCCGCGGCCATGGACAGTGTGCAGGGTCCCTCAGCAGCAGCTCCCAGGGCACTCAGCAGCAGACAGCCTCCAGGGACACACAGCCAAGGATAGTGTGCAGGGTCCCTCAGCAGCAGCTCCCAGGGCACTCAGCAGCAGACAGGGTGCAAGGGTGCTCAGTAGACAGGCTTACAGACTTGCAGGGTCTGGACGGGTCTCCGCTGTGGGGTCTGACCTTTGAGGAGAAGGCTCATGCAAAGCTGTGGAGGTTCCCAATCCCAACCCTGGGGTATTGCAGAGGGCTACAGTCCTGACCTTTTGGGGGTCTGCAGAGTGCGCAGGGGGGGTGGCTGGGGAGGCTCGGTCCCCCTCACCCGAGCCTCCCAGCATCTTTCTGGGAGCAAGATGATTCCAGCAGCATGGACAGGAACAAAGAGAGAAGGGCTGCTTCCTGTGCGGGTCTTTTGAAAACCATGTGGGACGCGGCTAGGTTGCCTCGGCAACGGCCGGCCCAGCCCTGTCCATGGAAGTTCCACAGACATCGGAATTTGCAAGGGGGAGGGAGGGGTGGAGGGATATGGCGGGGGATGGGAGAGGCCCTGGCAGCCCGTGACACCGCCTCTTTAAGATGGTGAGCTTCCCAAACTATTATCCTCTTCAGACCATAGCACTCCTTCTTAGACATGGAGATATAACTGAATTAAACAGAGCCATATCTAATTTTCTGTGGAAGGGCTGACGCTCACGCATTGCCTTACACAAATTGTTTCTTACACGGAACGAGTAGGGTCGGGGATACCAAATATACAACTTTACAACCTCTCCTGCCTTCTACATATCTGCTTTGACTGGCTGACCCAGTCATCAAAATATTCAAACTTTCAACTTGAAACAGCTATGGCCCACCCATACAACCTAACAGCCCTTTTGCATTTCAGTGTCAACTCACTACCACCACATCTAAAACACAACCCACTTAGAACACTCTCATAACATGGAAAGAGGTTAGACGCAAGTTAGGGGTTTCCCCTTGGTTATCCCGATACCTTCCAATTCACAACAATCCTTCTTTCCCTCTCTCTCAACAATATGCTGCCTACACAATTTGGGTTACGCAAAATCTTGTATATGTCATGCAATTGTTTGACTCTTCTGATGGTTCTCCCTTGCCTCTACAACACATTCTGCAAAGCTTTAACCTACCCTCTCACTACTTCATCTATGTATTGCAAGTTCTGAACTTCGTGAAATCAATCGCTCCGATCAAATCCACCAGGTTCCGCACCTGGTTAATTTACACAATGGTACAATGTCAAAAATACAAAATATCTAACATCTATACTCTGCTAAATATGCATTACGTGACACCTATGGAAACTTCTTCATCAGCAATCTCTTGGGTCAAAGACTTTTGTAATGTATTCACAGTCGAACAAATCTTAACGGGTTTCAACACTACATTTGCTTTTAACTCAAATGAGTTCTGGCGGGGTAGCAACAGCTCAAAATTATGCATCGTGCATACATGCCCTGTATCTATTTGAGACTCAACCCCTCATTGTTCATCTGTCCACTCTGTGGATGTTTTATGCCTTCTCTACAACACAGATTTTGGCTCTGCCCCCCCATATCTAACTTCTGGGACCAGGTAGCCAACTTTGCAATGTTTATTACCAGTGTTCAAATGTCTAAAGATCCGCTACTTCTTTTCTTTGGTAACCTGGAACAGACTCCCACAGGCACCTCTCCTGCACAGATCTCTTCTGTCAGGAAAAACAAACCTTGGTTATCTACTTGTCTATTGGTAGCAAGAAGAGCTATTTTAAAAAAGTGGGTCTCAAGCTCACCTCCAACCATATCGGACAGAAAACAGGATCTCAATCATCTACTCCATCTGGACAGGCTTAATCTACTATCCTCACCTAACACCCAAAGAACTGACGCTTACATCCAAAAATGGCACTTATATATCACCGGAATATTTACTGAACCTGATCAACACCTGTTCCTACACAGCTCTAGCATTGTTAGCTTATCTACCACTAATACCTGAGGCTGTGTACACCCTAACTCACATATGTAGAATTTGATTTCTTGCTGTTACACGTTATATATAACGCTGTTCTTTATGGTTATGACATCCTTGCTTTACTTACCCAAGAATTACACTATCGCAAACCCATATATCATTACTCTTTTAATCATATATGACCAGGTATTTTTCTCACTGTTTCACATGACACCTGGTATTCAAGGTTCTAGCCCCCTCTTACACAGACGTTCTCGCGAGTTCATAATGATACATGCTGACCACTGCTCATATTATCTTCCTGCTAACTTTTGCACTCAATAGTTCTCCCACTACCCCTTCTATTCCCTCTCCCTTTTTTTTATTTTCTTATTCCCTTATCTTTATTTTTCATACCTGAATCTCTTTTTTTTTTTCTTTCTTCTTGGCTCATATCTACTTTTTTTTTCCCTGGTTTCTCTCTTCCTCATAATACATAATTCGTACAACTGCTGAAAATCACATTGTTGAAGACACCAGCCAACATGTCGTTGCACCTTGGAGGTGCAGGAACAGTTTTTATTTTTCTTCTCTATAGGATGAAATACCATTCTGTAGCTATATATTTGCCACTTATTGTCCTAGGTATTCAAGCACTTAAGCTACTTTATTAGTTTTTAAAATATGTCTGAAACAGTTTACATCTTAAGTATACCATCTCATGGGATATCTAGCTCTCATCCGCTATAAATTCTATTTGTCATGCTTCTCTAACCCTACTAATTGTCAATGACTGTTATTCCTATGTGGCAATGATATGTTGTTTCTCAGGTCGTTTTGTTTGATCTTTATTGTGAACAATGATAAAATCCAATAAATATTTCTTTAAAAAAAAAAAAAAAAAGAGGGATAGTGTGAAGGTAATGTTGAGTACTCAGGGGTTCTCTTCCACGTAGGATGAGGGGTTCCAGGGTAGTCCAGCTGGAGAGGAGAGGACTGACTTTCTGTACTCTCCGGATTGCTAAATCCATGTTTGGTGACCGGGAATTTTTGAGGTTCAAAGAGTTTTGGGTGGGAAGAACAGCCAAACCCTGATTATGAAGGGATAACTAGGATGCCTCGGCATTCAGAAAGTGTAGAAGAAATAGTTGGCACCTGTTAGAAGCTTTCCATAAACTAATATCTAATATCTGCTTATTAACATTACTATGAATGTGTTGGACCGTAATAGAATAGTTGAATTGTTATATATCTATTTGTTCTAGATTTGGAAAAGTAAGCTAAACAGACTTTTATAGTCTATGTGAATACATATGTATGTGGATATATATATATATATATATATTGTTCTCTATATTCTAGTAACATGTGCTAGTAATTAGTCATGAATTGGCTAGCTAGCTTACCTCCCCCCATCTCTGTGGGTAGGAGTTAAAGTTCCACTAATAAGGGGATTGTAAGAATCTATTTCATGCATGTTAAGCATACAAGATTTATACTGTAATATTGTTTGATTAGGATATTTATATACAATATAACTGTATATTAAGAATACTCTTGGGAGATTATATATAGTGTGTGTGTGTGTGTGTGTGTGTGTGTGTGTGTGTGTGTGTGTGTGTGTGTGTGTGTGTGTGTGTGTGCGCACACATATATATACAGTTGTGTTCAAAAATAATAGCAGTCAGACATCACTAACCTGATCAATCACTGTTTTTTTTTTTTTGTAGAAATGATATTTCTACATGGCAAATAATTTACTAGCAGGTGTAATAGAGTAATAGAAATCCAACAGACCCAACAGTCATGACATGCATGCTGCTGATTCTGTGTAATTGAATCATTAATTGAAAGGGGCATGTTCAAAATAATAGCAGTGTGGAGTTCTATTAGTGAGGTCATTCATTCTTTGAAAAACAGGAGGCAATTATTGCCCTTTATTTAAGGAAGGAAGGCAGCAAATGTTTTGTACATGCTGGTTACAGTGCATTTCTCTCTGAAATTCGGAGGAAAATGGGCCATTCCAGACATTGTTCAGAAGAACAGCGTACCTTGATTAAATAGTTGATTGGAGAGGGGAAAACATATAAAGAAGTGCAGAAAATGATCGGCTGCTCAGCTAAAATGATCGCAAATGCTTTAAAATGGCAACCAAAACCTGAAAGATGTGGAAGAAAGCGAAAAAACTACCATTCGAATGGATAGAAGAAAAGCCAAAATGGCAAGGCCAACAATCAGCTCCAGGAAGATCAAAGAAGGTGTAAAGTTCCCTGTGAGTACTGTTACAATTAGAAGACGCCTATGTGAAGCCAAGCTATCTGCAAGAAGCCCCCGCAAAGTCCCACTGTTGAAAAAAAGAGACGTGCTGAAGAGGTTACAATTTGCCAAAGAGCACATTGACTGGCCTAAAGAGAAATGGCGCAACATTTTGTGGACTGATGAAAGTAAGATTGTTCTTTTTGGGTCTAGTGATCGGAGACAGTTTGTCAGACGACCCCCAAACACTGAATTCAAGCCACAGTACACTGTGAAGACAGTGAAGCATGGTTGCGTAAGCATCATGATATGGGGATGTTTCTCATACTACGGTGTTGGGCCTATTTATCGCATACCAGGGATCATGGATCAGTTTGAATACATCAGAATACTTGAAGAGGTCATGCTGCCTTATGCTGAAGAGGAAATGCCCTTGAAATGGGTGTTCCAACAAGACAACGACCCCAAACACACCAGTAAACGTGCAACATCTTGGTTCCAGACCAACAAGATTGACGTTATGGAGTGGCCAGCCCAATCCCCGGATCTTAATCCAATAGAAAACTTGTGGGGTGACATCAAAAATGCAGTTTCTGAGGCAAAACCAAGAAATAGAGAAGAACTGTGGAATGTAGTCCAATCATCCTGGGCTGGAATACCTGATCACAGGTGCCAGAAGTTGGTTGACTCCATGCAACACAGATGTACAGCAGTTCTCAGAAACAGTGCGACTACAACGAAATATTCATTAAGTGATTCAAAGGGAAGCAAAA